GTGTATTTCTCTTGATTTTAGGATAATACAAACAAAATTAAAAAAAAAATTCAAAGGGGGGGGGGGGCACGCTCAGCGCGCCGGCGCTGGATCCGCCTTTGGATCAAACTTAAACCCCCTTCACCCACCATGCTTTCTGACAAGTTCAAATTTGCCGATTGGTTCTGAAGAATAAGTCAAAAATGTGAAAGGTTTACATGAAATGTATGTAGATAACGAACAGTATTTAAGCTCAAAAGTCCATTAAGCAAACACGGACCTCTAAAACATCAGAGGTGGGATCAGGTGCCATGGAGGAGTAAGCATCCCCTGCCGATCGGTCACATCCGCCGAGTGTTCCTTGTCATGATCGGAAATTAAAGGAAAAATCCGTCGACAATTCAATGTGTAAATTCCCAGATAGCAAGACTACATCGGGCCAACGTTGGTTGATGGTTGGTAGGTTGGTATAGTGTTGGCGTTGGGCGGTAAATGTTGGCCCAACATTGGCCCAACGGATGATATGTTGGCGTGAAAGCTGGTCCATCGGTGTTGGGTATGCGATGTTGGGCCAATGTTGGTCCATTGTAGTAAATGTTGGCATGAAACACGACCATTATATGTTGGGCATTTGATGTTGGCCCAACGTAGGTCCAACCAAGTAGATGTTGGCTTAAAACAAAGCCACTGTGTGTTGGGATGTAATGTTGGCCCAACATAGGGCCAACCAAGTAATGTTGACATGAAACACATGAAATGTGTGTTGGGCATGTAATGTTGGTTCAACGTTGGCCCAACGTAGTAAATTTTGATTACAATGAGGTTGATATGGCTTTCAACGTTGGCCCAGCGTTGGTTCAATTAACGGAGTGAATGTTGGGATAAAATCAACTTTCATTAACATACATGTTGGTGATCTGTTAATTACACATATTAAATTTGTATCTTTTAGAACCAATTAAGCTTCTTTCAATAGAGACATCTCATCTTTCGTTAAAATATTATGAACAATGGATTATCTTAATAGCCCATTTATTAATAATTTACAGTGTATGTGTTAATACAAGAGGCCCATGGGCCTTGTAGGTCACCTGAGTATCATGGAACAAGTCTTTCAACTGTGTAAAGCAATAATGTTGTAGGAAGAAATATATGCTTGTATCTCAGAAACCTTGAATCACTATAGGGTCATGAAATACATGGGCCACTTGCTTCATTTTCATGTAATAATTCTGTGCCATTATCATGCCATCAGTGCATGAATTTCATATTTTTTTCACAGAACATTATTGAAGTATGACATTTGATCACATAATCATCATGCATATTCTCACATGTGAAATGCTCTTTGCTATGCAAATTATTATGCATTTGCAGTAAGAAGATGTGGGACCCTTGGGTAACACTGAGTTTGTGCAAGTTAGAGAGTCCTTAAATTTGCACTGAACAAATTTTGTCACAACTGTAAACTTTCAAGTTTCATAATTTAGACTGATAAATTCTGCAGTTCATGGTTTTTATACAAATGATTTGTTTAGGTCATACATGTGACTTTATACAAGGTACTTAGTGCAATTTATTATTTTTAATATGCATACTTTCAAAAATGAACTCTGATATGTAAGCAGTAATCCTTTCCTTTTTAACAGTCCTTTAAACATACTGTAATAAAAAAAATATCACACACACAAAAAGCGATATCACATTTATTAAGTTCTATATTCACTCAGTATCATAATGATTTAAATGTAATTAATGGATTTCTTAATCATTACATCAGGTTTGGAAAGAGTCATGATTAAACATCTTAATATCTAAAATTGTACAATATTTAAATGAAAATATGACACAATACTCATCATTAAAAAGCAAATTAAAGAGAAAATATCCAAGTCATCGCAAAGAGGGCCATTCCCTTGCAAAAGAGATATACATTACTGCTTGCTTAACTTCCATTATGCACTAAATAATCCATATACACAGTCAAATGCATGCTACTATATACATGTAAATAGGACAACTGGTTCAACATTTGACTTTAATATGTGCACAATAATGATAATCAAGTTGTATTTAATTAGAAAGCTCGGTGAACAATTCATTCTTATTTTATACTTTGTTCAATTTTCAAACAATATGAAAGTCGTTTATTGGTCTACTATCTGAAATACTATGTATGAAGCAATCTTCACTATTTCTAAATCATCTGAAAGAAGCAAGGTTTACCTCCCTTTACGGGCTGGCCATTGACCCCCTCTTTCCATGCTACTTACCTTTAAAAAAGTGAATGCTTCGACATGTCTTTGGTGATTTCAGACAGTTAGAACATTATATAGATATTGTGAAATCATTGTAGCATGAACATGTTTTTGAGTTAGCAATTATAGTAGGTTATAGTGCATGTACATGAACTTGTCCATCAAGCATGGATTGTGTACATTTTAAAATCTGCACAAGTAGTAAAAATTGAACCATAAAGTTATCTTAAACTTTTCACAATATGATCAAAAATGTAATGAACAGATAAATGCAACATGGCAAGAAAAAAAAAAATATTTCTTATATTGTTTTAATCATTCTTTTCCAAAAGCATTTTGAAACAATGCAGCCAAAAAACAAACAAACAAACAAAAAAACCCAACCAAAACAAATCAAAAAACTTAATATGCAAAGATATCCTAAACCATTGAATTTATATCAATTAAATATACTTTTAAATTCAGAGTATCTGTGATTACAATTTTAATTTAAATATCTGCACAATGAAAATTGATAGTTTAGTGAAATATTTGAAGGAAATAGGAAATTTGGCTGTATTCAGTCATTGTTGAGAACAACTTCTTTAATCTTACATAACGAAAGCGAAAAGAAAGATTAAAAGTTGTTTATAAAGACCTGAATACATCAACATTTAAGAAGAAAGTTGAAAATACATAAAATATTTGGTAGTGATTTGGTGATAATATTTTCTAAATACACATAATTTAATTATAATAGCAGCTAGTCTAGGACTAAAACACTTGATCAACAGTACAGTATAAACACTTTTATCCACAAGATTAGAGCATAGATGCTACATGTTTGGGTGAATGTAGTACTTATATATACAAATATCATAGTTAGAAAATTCTAAATTGCCCTTGTGTAACTCAACAACATATCAATATTAGCAAAAAAACAGTTTCACATCCAATGTAACATATGGCAGCCAGTATTCAGAAATGGAATGTTGATTTAACAGTTTCACATGTAGCACGGGAGCCAGTCTTTTCAGAAATGGAATGCTGATTTAACAGTTTCACATGTAACACGGGAGCCAGTCTTTTCAGAAACGGAATGTTGATTTAAAAGTTTCACATGTAACACGAGAGGCAGTCTTTTCAGAAATGGAATGTTGATTTAACAGTTTCACATGTAACACGGGAGTCAGTCTTTTCAGAAATGGAATGTTGATTTAGCAGTTTCACATGTAACACAGGAGCCAGTCTTTTCAGAAATGGAACATTGATTTATAAATTTCACATGTAACAGGGGAGATAGTCTTTTTTATATACCAAATGTTGATACAGTTTTACATTAACACAGCTTCACATGGACAACTGTTTTGTTTACAATGTAATTGCAGATACATGTATACCCTTTTGACATTGGGCTGTATAATAAATGTAGTAATTACATGAATAACACAAAAATTCTTTCATTCTAATTCTTAAATCTAATACTGTACATATGTATAATTCACCATAAATCATCATGTTCATTTAAATGCCCATGAGATGAAATATTCATTTTATATAATTATCATACATGTACATGCATTACCAAAACAGATAGTACTTTACAAACACAAAAATATTAAGAGCCCTGTGTACAGTGCACACTAAAGAGTTTTGATTTTGTGGTATTTTTATGCAGATAGAGTACTCTGCCCTTTGATCTAAGAATGAAATAAATTGAAATGTAGCATATCACAAATCTGTGGTCAAATCAAGCATTCAAAAGACTTTAACAGGCCAAGAGAAATAGATTGAACACTTAATGCATTTCCAGGTATTTTGCCCATTTAAGTAAACAACAGTGATTTCTGTTCATGAGTACTTGATTCTTTCCTGGGGGTAAAAGCAAGGTACCCATGCTAAAAATGTAATAGATAAGCTAAATATTTACACCTTAATTTACACACTATAATTTTCCAATTTCCAAAAAGTTTTTTTTCCCCTTTAGTATTGAGAGGGTTCTTAAATGAATGTTAAAAAAAAACTTAACAAAGAAGTAAAACTTGTCATTGGAATAGAAGTATTAAATGCTACTTGATTGATGTATATTTCATCTGGACCTAATAGATCAAGTCATTAAAAGAAAGTGTGTTATAAAAAAAATTCTTAATATTTGATCCAATCAAATCTTGCAGATATACACCAGTATAATGAATCTTTTAAAATACAATATCATGTTCCAATTTTAAAAAAGATCATTATAAGATTCCATTTACAAATAACTTTAATGTTTAATTCAAAAATTACAAAAGTTTACAAACAAATTCACATATTGTGTAATAACACAGAAATTTAGATATTCTCTTAAAAGAAAACAATGCTGTAATGGGATTTGAATCGTATATATTATATAAAAGAGAGGCAGTACAAACTGTTTTCACCCATTTTTTGAAAGGTTGCAAACATAACATACATATACTAAATAATTCCATCTCATGGGCATTAAAATTTTGAAACACAATTTTGTCCCAATAACTTCCTAGTAAGCAAGCCTATGTGAATTTTAAAATCATATACATGTACATATATTTTTTAAACAGACTGGGGAGTTATTGGGGCAAATAACTTTCATAAGGTAGATGATGAGTGGCAACCCTTGTTTTGTCTAACCACTCTTGGCAGTTTGTAAATATTTAGCTTCCACTGGAAACTAAATATTTACAAACTGCCTGTGTTGTGCTTTAGAGGGTTTTTTAATACTGGACAATACAATACAACTGATATGCACTTCTATCATTAGCTAGCTTAAGTCATATTTGCTGCACAATAAATCATATTATGGTCAGACCAATAAGCCTGAAGAACATCTGTTTGAATATCAGTAAAGTTGGTAAATATCAAGTCTAACTGTGTCTTGTTTTTTGTGGTTACAGTGCTTATCACTTGCTCACAACCAAAGTTTTCTTTCATAAAGTTTAGGAAATGTTGATACTGACCAGTATTTAAATCGAAATTATAATCTCCCATCATCACAATTTTTTGATCTTTGTCAACAAATGGAAGCAACCTGTTCTTCAAGGTATTGTAAAATAGTTGAAGAGGACAAGAAGGCTGTCTATATAAAACTACACACTGTACTGGAGTATTTGATGACATAATGGAAATAACAGAAAATTCAACAGATTTGGAAGTATAATAAGAGTTGTATGTCACACACTGTAATTGATTCCTCAGATATATGACAATGCCATGATGTGATCTGGTCTGGGAAAAATTTGCATCATTTCTGAACATTGTAAATCCCTCCAAATTAAAGTCTTTGTCAGAATCCAATTCACAAAGCCAAGATTCAGCTATACCAATAACATCTGCAGCTAAAACACTTGGTTCTGATTTTATATCTAAGAAGTGTTTGTGAAGAGATCTTGCATTGTTGAACAAAAATTTGATATCTTTACATACCAAATAAAGTGGTGTGTATGAGAGCTGCAATCTATTTTCTCGCAATCTTTCCATCTCTTTATCAACATTTTCATCTTTAGAAAGACTTTTTTCATTGAAATCCAGAATGAATAGACCATCAAGTGACCTTACTCTTGAAAGGGCAACATAATGTATATGAGGAATTTTGCGCTGCTTTGTCTGTGCTAAGCTGATTACTGCCTTTGAAAGTGTTGCTCCTTGTGCTTTGTGGATTGTTTTTCCTGCAGATGGTTGAAGTGGAAATTGAACTCTCTCAAAGGTCTTCCTGTTATATACAAATGTTCTTTTAGCTTCAAATATGGGAGTCCATGTAGTGTTAACATCTGTGCTGAACAAATGGTTGTATTGATGTCTTCTTGAAATACCTATAGTTGAGTCAGCAAAGAGAACCCATACTATGGCAGGTCTTAATAGTGATTGTCGATATTCAATGTATTTCACAACACATGAAGCACCATTTGTCAACCCATCTGTAACATCAAGATTTACAGATATGTCATAGAGCATATCTACAGCAATAACCAAATTAGTTCTTAATTGTCCAGTAGATGCTGGGTTTTCAGGCAAGTTTTGAAGTAGTTTTAATTTCAATGATGCAGAAAGTTTTGTCTGGGATAACACGTCTGTGTCTGCTCTTACATTTACTTTATTTGTTGAAAGGTTTTCTATCAGATTGTTATTAAAAGAATCAACAAACTTGTTCTCAATAAACAGATGAGGTGCCTCTTTAGGGTAGACTTCAGAGTCTTGCCTGATGAAACGTTGAGTAATGAGTTCTTTGTCTTCATCTGTCATCTTGTTTTCACGAAGTCTATTCAACATTTCTGCAAATCTGAGGTCATCCTTTTGTCTCATAATTTCAGTTAATTCATGCATGTGAAAATGCTCATGCCACAAATTTTTTGCTAAACTCTGACCTGGATTAGAAAGGTCTTTGAAAATCCACTTGTCTCCAACAGGTGGTAACTGATACAAATCACCAACAGCTATGATACTTATACCGCCAAAATCTTGTTTTCTACCAGTAAGTTGCTGAAGTCTATCATTTATGAATGTCAGCATATTATTCCCTACCATTGAAATTTCATCTATTAACACAACTGACAAATTTCGGTACTTTGTCCTAAACGAGTTCAATTCATCAGCACTCATGTGCTGCTGAGTTTGATACATTTTTCTGTGAAATGCTGAAGCAATAGTAGTCCCTTTGATGTTGTATGCAGCTTTTCCAGTGTGAGCACAAAGTAATATTCTAATATCATCTGGGTTTTCACCTTCTTTTGAGTACAATATTCTGTGTAATGTTTGAAAAATGGCATCAATAACCACCGATTTTCCTGCACCTGCTCCACCAGTAAGAAAAGCATATAATGGTTCATCTCTGATTTGAATCCAGTTTGTCACATGATTGTAAAATTCTCTCTGCTTTGTATTCAGGGATTGCAAAAGTTTATAATACTGTTCATCGGGAATGCGGACAGCACTCATTTCTGTTTCAGATACTTTCGAAGACAAGCCAAGTTCTGGACCAATATCAAAATCTCTGTGTTGAACTGTATCAGGATCAAAATGAACAAATTCCTTTGATGGTTCAGAACTTATCTCTGCATCTTCTGCCTCAGCATGTTCTGTATTTGGTGCTACTGTCTCCATATTATCAAGATCTTCTTCAGCTTGAAGTCGAGCTTGTTCTAATTCATCCACAAAATGCTCATACTGTTTTTGCTTCACTTGTATTATACATGCTTGTTGCCTGTAGTGCTGTTCATAAGTTTGAAAACCACCAAGCAGGTCAGTATTCTCATTTCTCCAAGGCAGAAAAAGAAGAATTCTTTCTCTGTAATACTGTTCAGAATTTGTCTTTTGGCTGTACCCTACATATCTAATAACTCGTTTGTTTTTTCGTCTTCTGATCTTAACCCCATTTTTTAAATGAACTAACACATCCTGATCAGTAAAAAAAGTTTCTTGAGAATTTTCTTCTGGGTTATCATCATTCACTTCCTCCTGTACATCTTTATGCATTTCTTTTGGGAAAGAAACAACAGAAACAACATCAGCTAAACACCAATTTTCTAGTTGTTTTGGTCTTCTTGCATATCTCTGTATCATACCATCTGCCTTTATATCAGTTGAGTCTTTTGGTAACTCATTCAGTTCATCTTGATGTTTGAGCAAGAAAACTCTGTCCTCAGGTGGTGAGGTATTTATAAAAACAACCTCTCTACTAGCTTGTGTAAGTGGCATCTGAAGGATCAAGTAACTTGCCTCTTGTGCACTGACCTCAACAAAGTTTAGGAACTTGTTTCCAATATGTCGAACTTGACGCTTAAGATCCATATTTCCCTCTGCAGCTTCTTGAGATGCTTTATCAAGCATTGCACTTATTCCTCTTTGAGATTTGCTGATGTAAGCAACAATGTATGTGGCACAGGCATAAGGATCAAGTACAAACTGAATATCTAAGTTAGCATTCCAAGCCTTTAGCACTAATGGATTATAGTAATTCACTCTCATTTCAGATGGACTTCTCTTGAGAAACATTTTGGGACCTTTCAATGAAGCTCGAATACATTTTATATACTCATCCTCGCACATCTCTACAACAGTCTCTAAGAAGGAATCATAGTCCAAACTGCAACCATCTTTGTAATCATTCATTTTCTTCTGAATATCAGAATATATCTTTCTATAATGCTCAATATCAGCATCCAAGGGTTCAAGAAGCATGGTTTTGGGCAAAGGTGGCAATGGAAATCCAAATCTGCAGACAGATTTACCACCTTTCTTGCAAGTCTTTGAGTGTTTATGTACTTGAAGCTCTACAAGCTGCTTCATTTGAGGATTATTTTCCTGCAAACCACATGTGACATATTCATCTACATAAGCTTCAATTTCCTCATTGCTATTTTCTTTATGCTTTGGAGCATCACTTGTCCATACCAGCATATGAATATGTGGCGAACCTCGGTTTTGGAATTCTACTCTTCGAAACACATCAGTAACAACACCAAGAGGATTGTGAGGACTCTTCAGAAAGGTATTAATGAAGAGTTGAACTCGGTTGTCGAAAAATCTTGCACACGTCACTGGATCTTGTTTAACTAGTTTTGATTTTTCATTCCAATTCAAATCCTCTAGTTCTTCTTGTGACAGGGTTTTTCCATCTAGTGTTGCCAATGTTTTTAGCAGATCTTGCCATCTGGTATCAGCTGATGAGAGAGAAATAAACCAGGTTGGAAGACCCAACTGCCTTATCATGGCAAACACATCCTTCTTTTTAGATGAAAGATATGCAGGAGAATTTCTAAGGGTTCTGAATATATAATACCCTTCATTTAATCTTACAATTTTTTCTGCAGAGGCTGGATTTAAAACTTGTTCAGCAGTGATTTTCTTACCCTCTGATTTACATCTCCTCAATGCCAAGTTAACTTTATCACTAACTTGCTTAATTTGAATTTTTTTCAATTTAAAAAAGATGTTCGGTACAGATTGTGCTGCTCGTCTATCAACACTGCGCAACTCCCATTTTGCAATATCACTGTAGTGTACTGGAACTTCCCTTTCCTCACTTTCAGTTCTCCGATGACCACAAAATATTGTCGGAAAACAGAGATATTCTGCATCTTTATCTGTAAATAAACTTACTGGTTTTTGGTTTTCTCCAGGGGCAAACACATAGAGTTTATTTGTATCAAAGTCTGCTTCATCAACAAGTGTATCAGAATTGCCTTGAATGCAATCATCTGAAGAAACTTCACAAAAACCATAATCATTTCCTTCAGATTCACGATCATCTCTATCATTTGAAGATCCTATCAGTTCTTGTACTGTTTCCTCGTTACTTTTTTCAATGTCACCTCTCCAAGAATGGTCTATCACTATACCTGAATTTTTATACAACTCACTATTTTTCATAAGCCATTGTAAAGCATTTATTACCACATTTGGACGAACATTTTCTGTGAAGCATGCTGATTTGTGAGATAATCTTTTCTTTAATTTTACAGCTATAGTCACATGCTCATCAATTTGTCGCGGAAGGGCATTTACAGTTGGCTGAATATCAACTGGAACATTTACAATATTTCCTTTGACTGACATTTGACCTCCTCTTGGTAATTCTCTAATTTGCATAAATGGTATGCGTTGAGATATCAACCTCTCTTCCAATGGGTGTAAATTCAAAGCATCTGGTTTATCAGGCCATTTCATTCCATTTTTAACTGAAAGTCTTGGAATTTTCCCATCCCTTAGAGCTGATAAGCAGGTTAAACATAGCCATTCTATACCATCCACAGATCTTAAGCCAGTACAAATACTTTTACTGCTAGCATTAAGATTAGTTGTATTTAGATTGACTATGCTTTTCAAAAACCAAGTCTGATGACAACATGTACACACATAAATTGGACCAATTTTCACTTGTTCATGAAATTTCTTTATGCAATCTTCCAAAGAATTACCATGACACCTTTTCTTCATTAATTTGTTTTCATGGTCTGTAAATTCTGCATCAAGCCTCCTTTTAGCTTTAGAAATTCTTTCACTCTCTTTTTCTTTTTCTCTGTAATTTCTTCTACTGTGCTGTTTACAAAGCCGTTCCTTCTCAAGCTGCTGTACATTGTCTCTCTTCTTTTTCTTTGCTTCTCTTTCTTTTAAACAAAATACTGTATTTAGTCTTGCCTTGTTCATACATTTTAAGGTACTTTCTCTGTCCTTGAGCTTTGTCTCAGGATTTTCTCTGACCCTTTGTTTGGAAGTAAGTTCTCTGTCTTTAAATTCTTTACTTTTTCTTGCCATGTTCATACATTTTAAGGTACTTTCTCTGTCCTTGAGCTTTCTCTTGGGATTTTCTCTGACCCTTTGTTTGGAAACAAGTTCTTTGTCTTTAAATTCTTTACTTTTTCTTGCCTTGTTCATACATTTTAAGGTACTTTCTCTATCCTTGAGCTTTGTCTCAGGATTTTCTCTGACCCTTTGTTTGGAAGCAAGTTCTTTGTCTTTAAATTCTTTACTTTTTCTTGCTTTATTTTTACTTTCCAAAGAACTTTCTCTGTCCTGCTTCTTTGTCTCAGGATTTTTTCTGAAACTGTTTTTGGAAGCCAGTTCTTTCTCTTTAAATTCTTTACTTTGTCTTGCTTTGGTCATACTTCTTAAAGTACTTTCTTTGTCCCTCTCTCTTTTCTGCGAGTTTTCCCTCCTTTTCCGCATATAGTTTCTCATATATTCATTCTTACTTCCGTGTGATGATTCAGAAATGGTACATTTTCTAGACATGTTCTCTTGAAACTCAAAATACTTGTCAATTAAAGAAAGTCTCTCACTTCCTGAAATGGAAACACTTGTTTTTTGTGTTACAGACACTGGTTGAATCTCAAACTGGCTTATCATTGAAATATTACAACTTTGATAAAATGCAAACATGTAATCCACAAGTTGATCAATATTTCCAAAAGTGATTTTTACAGCCTGTCCATCTGCACATGAAAGACCATCTTTTCCATGAGAATGTGAATCAAAAAATACAGGACAGCTCATGTCATCCATATATATTGCAGAACAGATTCCTCCAACTATAATTAATCCTTGATTGTATCTTGTAAAGAGTTTCTCAATGCCTTCCTTCAAATTATTACTTTGACATGACTGATCCCAATCTATATGAGTCACTGTTCCATAGATCTGTTCAAAATAGCATATTTCATACTCATTGTCATGCACATTAACAAACTTTGGAAGTTCTTGAAATTGTAGCATTTTTGAAACAAATTGAACAGTTGATTGTAATTCTGCAATTCTGACTCTAAATAAATAATCCCCAGCAAAAAGCACCTCATCAAGTTCTGCTGAAGTTGACACATTTTGCAAAATGATGGACATCAAAGCATTACATGTGCACTGAACTCCTCTAGAAAAAGCTGGAAATAAATTACTTGCTTGATTTATTGTCCCAAATAATCTTGTCACAGACAAATTTTTCTCCATTAAAGACTCGTATGTAGACTGTTCAGAGCAACAGGAACACTCAGTTGTGTTTTTTGTATCTAAAGAAAAATTGTCAGTATTCTTAAGATAAGAAGCCATATTTTCTAAGTTCATGAAATTTGTTTGTAATGTGTTTGAAATTATTACGCTGGAAGACAAACTATCCCAGTTCAGAGACCCAGAAGACATATTGGCAGAGTTCATAGTGCCTGAAGGCAAATTTGCAGAGTTCATAGTGCCCGAAGACAAATTTGCAGAGTTCACAGTGCCCGAAGGCAAATTTGCAGAGTTCATAGTGCCCGAAGGCAAATTTGCAGAGTTCATAGTGCTCAAAGGCAATTTTGCAGAGTTCATAGTGCCCGAAGGAAAATTTGCAGAGTTCATAGTGCCCGAAGGCAAATTTGCAATGTTACTGGCGCCCGAAGGCAAATTTGCAATGTTACTGGCGCCCGAAGGCAAATTTGCAATGTTACTGGCGCCCGAAGGCAAATCTAGTACTCTTTTTAAGGAGGCAGTATCCCCCCGGTCCTTTGTACTATTTTTTACGTGGCTAGTGTCCACGAGTCTCAAAGGTCCGTCATCTGTTACGTCAATTGTTGGGTCCTTTGTACTATTTTTTACGTGGCTAGTATCCACGAGTCTATTGTCATTGCTGGCACGACTCTGGTTCCCCATCTTTGCCAATGCCATGCGCCAGTTCCTTTTACGTGGCATCACCAGGTTTCTAAAAAAAAAAATATACAACTTCTTTTAATTCAATCAGAATTCCTTAATCTAATATTTACTTACTTTATGTATTTTTTAACAATACATCTGCCTAAATTAACTTGTATAACCCTGGGCCTAAGGTGGACCTTTAGAGTTGAAGATTTAATATGAAAAACTAATTAAACTTTTCTCAAGAGCAGTATAACCACAGTCAAATTATTGCAAAGCCATGGCTTTTATGGGGTCAAGTGCCATGGAGGAGTAAGCATCCTTTGTCGACCGATTACAACTGCCATGTGCTCCTTGTCATGATCGGGCAAACACAAAAATCTGTAGACTATTTTAATGTGTAATTAATGGCTTAACAATCTTCTGGAAAACAGCATTCTATTTAATTATGAATGCATCAGCATCTCGTGTAAATTCACTAGTGCTCAAAGGAGACTTATTAGGGGGGAGGGGGGGGGTGTGTTTACAAAACAGGTCAACATTAAAATACTTCATTTATAGTAAGTTTGAAATTGAATACACATAGAATATACAAGCTGTCTAATCACAGATAACAGTAAACCTGATATCATACAATACACTACAGAAGGAACTGTTTTAAACATATTCATTAAATTTACAGCCACACTAGGTAAGGTTGGGCCTATTTTTCTTTTTCCAAATGAACTTAGTTGAAAACATCTAAATTGTACTAAAGTAATGGCACAAATATCAATTACCTATCAAAAGCTGCATTCATTTCTTGTGATCAGATGAAAAAAAACAACTTCAAGATATACACGCTATAACTTGCGTCAGTTAAAAATAAAGTTGGAAATTTATTTATTTTGTTTACCAAATAAAGATACGAAAATATTGTAAATTACACAATTGGAAATGAATGCATTATAAAGATCTCAAATTATAATTATTTCTTTAATATCCTACTAGGAAAGTAATGCCTCTATTTAAATTCATGCATCATGTGACACCATCGCTACTTTTAGATTGATAAACAAAAATGGCATCAAGAAAACGAGGTAGGCTGTTTGGTATACAAAATAACTTTGATATGGATGGCATACGTTTTATGCTTAAAGATACTTATCTTTGAAAACAACCAGTATTAACCATCTACTCTGTAATGACAGATATTAACTTTTATTCGAAATCGTAGTCAAAATGCAATGTACCTAGTTGTCTATGATTTCCCGGGGACATGCATGTCTATATATTGCTTACGCACTTCCTTCATCAATATTCATGAATAGGCTGAATTTTTAATTGCAGATCTTGCTTAATTGTTTTGTAATTACAACTTATTTAGTAAAACTTTGTGGAAAGTAATTATTTTTTTATTACACATCATGTTTCTCAATTCATTTAATCATTTTGTTTCACATAAGAAATTGCATTTATATAGCGTGTATATCTTAAAGCTAGCTGAAATTTTCATATTGCTTATCCTTTGCATAAAAATACTTATCAGTTTTTTCTTACCTACTACTCTATTTAGCTGCAATGCTACATGAAAATTCACAAAAGGTTTCTTTTGACAATACTTCATCAGTTATTGATTGACACCATTTTGTTTATAATCGCTTATAAATACTGTTAACGTATTATATTTGGCTGTGTGTTCTTTTTAAACACCTTTGGCAGAAAGGAGCTTTCATCAAATCAAGTACATCACAAATGTCTTTTATACATACATTCATATTATGCACATTCAGAAATTCACAAACTCAAATCTTCACGAACTTGCTGAAAAATCAATTTCCTCCAAATATATAATACATTTACAGTACTGTTTATTGGACCATGACATATGAGTTGTTCTTGAACTGCATTTGCAGGGAAATCTAAAAACCCGGGCACTTGCAATATATCTACAAGACTACACTTATTTTGATAAAAATGGTGCTCAAGGTCAAACGAAAGATCAAGGACAAAAACTGTTGATGTAGTTGAACAGCTGCTAACATCAATATTTATCATTATATGAAGTTTGATGAAAAGAAATAAATCTTGAATAGTTTCTAAAAAGCTGAGCCAAACACATTTTTTGATAAGTGAGGTCAAGGTCAGTGTCAAAAAGTGTTTATGCAGTTGAATACCTCTCATCAGTATTTATCAGCATATGAAGTTTCATAAAAATATTTTGTCTATTTCATTAAAAAAATCTTGAATAATTTCTGTAAAACTGAGCTCAACACAAATTTCTGATAAGTGAGGTCATGGTCAAAGGAAAGGTCAAGGTAAAAAAAAAATATTGTTAACTTGAAAACAACAGCACTGCATTACTTTTAAAAAGTCCATTATGCTTGATTCATTTGTGATGTTACTGATAATTACAAAAAACAAAAGGCCTAAAAAAAATCATTTGTTTCCTGTAACCCGACCGACCCATACCAATTACCCCCAGGTGGATTTTTTTTCTCAGCAAAATCTGCGTTTGATCAATCAGCCACTTCATTATATACAAAAAATTAAATTGTAACTTTATTTGAGATAAAAAAAAAAAAAAAACATGCCAACCTAGTCAACATTTATCTTAAATATAAAGAGTAATCATTATTGTAACATCAAGCATTTCCCCCACAACTTTTAGAAGTCGTTTTCTACCGCCATGCTGGGTGTCCGCTGTAAATATCGCACCTGGTTAATTGAGTCTGGGGATGTTTGACCCTATTATTCATTAGCCAAAAAATAAAAAAATAATAATAAAAAAAAAAATCCTGACCAACCCTTGATTTTTTAGGAATGTTACAGGAAACAAACATAATTTTTTTTGGCCTAAAACAAAATTTTATCTAGACTTTCTGTCAACAACAAAAATGAACACAAGTGAAATTGTGCTGGATCTGGAGAATCAAAACTTCCTAAGATTCATGCCTTTTCCCTTTGCAATTTAAAATTGAAAGTAGTACGCAATTAGTGAACTTTGATCCCGATTGAGTGTGACTCAATTATATAGAGATTGATCGGGATACAATTTTTTTTTTCATGCACTGCTTCCATCTTTGAACTACAGATAAACAATTCACCAGTCGTTCTTTTTATTATTTGAATTACTTCTTTAAATATAAAAGCCCTTGTCCAATCAAAAAAGTGCCCAGCAATATTCACTTGTCCTCAATTTTTTTTCCACTGGTACTGGACAAGTGTTAATGTCGAGCCCCGATGCCATGGCTAAATTCATGGCGGGGAATAAAAATTAAGTGAAATCAGATTAAATCAAATATTATATACAAGATTACTATGCTAGAAATATTTTAAGTACTATGTAACATTTTCAAACGTCATAAATTCTCTAAAACAGAATGGCTTTGTACTACTAATAATATCAACAGTTTTTGGAAAAATATGAACACAAAGGCTAATATAGAAGTTCCTATTATTATTTTCCAGACTCCTGTAATAACAAACAACATTTAATTCAATTCTTAATCAGCAAAGCTCTCTAGACAAATTTACCATCATGATATATATATATATAATAGCAACATTGAAAGTAGCTATCATCATTGATCATACTATACATTCTTGCAAATACCTCACCTTTAGATTTAGGAAGAATTATTTTTCCTATTTTTCTGTTCAGTACAAAACAATGCATAATGATTTTTAATGTCAAATTGGTAATGAAGCTCAGAAAACAACAGCAACAAAATAATTACCACCTACATGGAAAGCATTACTCCTTCAGGCAACTAGAAATAAAGATTACAGGGTTCAATAAACCTAAATGTATAAGAGCACCCTCAATCCAGAAGTCTTTGATGAGACAGTAGCTCTACTGGTTTTAAGTAAATTAAAAAAGGTAGAGAAAGGTAGCACTTAGACTTACCAGTACACCCTCCCTCACTCCCTTATGGGCCCCTTTATTAAATTAGGCAATTCTTTGTGTAATAAATCTACATCTTATTTTCAGAAATATTTAATCAAGAAATAACACCCGATATAGTCTTTTGAGTATTAACCAATCAGATTTCATAGCTCACTCATACCCTTGTTTTCCAGATATTTCTCATGTCTTCCCCAAGACTCATAATAAATACTATGTAAGAAATCTCAAACATTTTCATTAAAAACTATGAGAGATACAGCCATATAAGTATTAGTCAATTAGAATTCAGCACAAGTTCATGGACGTTCTTAGCATTCAATTTTGATAGCATCACCTATAGGAACCCATTATACCTACCTATCTTCGAAATTTTATCCTGTTTTGTTGAAAACTAAGAAAGTTACAGCCATTTAAAGTTTAAACCAATCAAATTGCAGCACACGTGCATGCACACAATTTTTCATGATATCTCATATACATCTTAATTTGGAACCTCCTTATGTATGAGTACGTTTTAAATTTCAAAGTATTATGACAAAAAACAAGAAGGTTATTGAGATTTTTTGTGTCAGACAATCAGAACACATGTGCATGCTTTCTTGCTAATTTAACCATGTGTTCTTGTCTACACCACTAATATATGTTTATATAATAAGGTTCAAAACATATCATCTAAAATTAGGAATGTGAAATTTTTTTCAATTGCATCAATCATTTCACTCCTTGCACGCGCACGTGCATGCAAGTGTGCGCGAAATGACCTTCCTTCTACAAAACATGCCTGTTAACCTTCAAAAGGTTTCATCTCAATTTGTATAAGTAGTTTCCAAGAACACTCACGGACACAAAAGTACCAGAGAAGAAATTTTGAAAAGCAAAAACAATATGTTCCAAAACTTCATTTGGGAAACATAATTGGACAAAACTGTAAAAGGAGTAGCATTTTGAAAGAATTTCACAAAAATTTCTATTTTTAGAAACCATAGCAACACTGTTCATCAAAATCAAAAAGCAAAATAAAGAATTATGTATCTTACTGTAGTGTGCCAAGTACCGTAATATGGAAGTCGGACTAGAACTGTAGGTTGAGTGGGATTTTAAAAGAACTTGACAAAAATTTCTTTTTTTGTAACTATAGCAACACCATTTATTGAAATCAAAAACCAATACACATAATTATGCATCTTAGTGAATTCTACTTATGTACCAAATTATATTGAAAATAGTCCAAAACTTTTGAAGTAGCACTTTGGAGAATTATTTACAGACAGAACAACAGACACCTTACTATCGCATAACCTCTTCTGGTCTCGGACCAGTAGAGCTAAAAATCGAACGTAGGACAGTTTGCCCAAATAGATGTTTCACATTGTGATGTTTCACCCCCCAGGACATTTTTTGCCAAGAAGATAATTCCTCTAAATTAAGGCTCAATATCCCTTTTTACTATTGTAGTTCTGGGGTTCATTTTCTTTTTAAATGTTGTTATTCTAAAGCTCCATTAGGCCAAGATAAATAGTGCTTCCTATTCCAATCTGAGAAAAAATAGAGTAGGTAGGTAGAGGAAACATTTTATTTATTTGAATATTCTATTGGCAAGCACGCTACCAATTTTCCCCTGGAAAAATCACTGTCAAAACATTTCTGATTAATGTGTATAATGATCGAAATAAGGATTTCTAATAGTGAAACTGGAATAGCTTACTCCTGGGAAAGATACCGGTATCTGCGGATAAATTTTTTAGGGTCGGCTCATATATTTAAGGGTAGGGGTGCAACGATACACTAACCTCACGATACGATACGTATCACGGTATTCAGTTCACGATACGATACGTATCACGATACATGACAAGGTTAAAAAGTCTTTCAAGTTTGTCATCATATTTTTTAAAACTTGACAGGGTTAT